GGTGGGGGGGGGAGAGAGAAGTAGCGAGAAATTCCAGGCAAAACAAAATGGCGACCCGCATAGTTCGTCTCTATTTGAAAAGTGAAATAGCCGTAGCATCTTTGTAGATGACCAAATTAATTTACTTTTGTGCTGTAACATCATTTTTTTCTTTGTTTTTGTCAATTTGATCGTCCACACTGATAGACAGTATTCAGAAAGAGAGAGAGAAAGAGAAGGGCTCCGGGCTACTTTGAAAGGGGTTCGTGCAAATTCAACCCCAGCACAGGGCCTGTGACAGGGAGGGATAATCAGGTTTTGGTCCCAACGATAATTATGGAGTGTGGGTTTTGGCTCCACCCACGATTAGGGCTAGGCCTACTTCTGGTTCTAAACGAAACGATTACTTTTCGACACGCGTTCTCAAATGTGTGATCCGCAGGGAGTGAGAAATATGAAAACTAATTGCAAAACATCAAATTGAGGTTCAATTCAGGGGGGCATACCCCCCGTGACTAAAGCCCTCCCTCTATACTTTATTTATGTCAGGAGGAATCCCCCCTCGTTAAAAACACGTGAAATATTACTGCTCATTTTGTACTGAAAAATAGCGCATCTCTCATTCTCTTTCTGATTTATAAAACATTGATACCGAGTTTTTAAGTCAGTATTGATATCCAGTACTCTAGGGCCAAAACCGGAGAATGCAGACAGGGGCTGTGGTTGTGGGCAACTTCGCAGAGATGCCAACCAGTACGATTTTAAGTATTTTAGTACGATTTTTGGCCGAAAATACGTGAATACGACTTTTCATGAAAAAATACGCATCCTGGAATGCGAAAACTACGAGATTCAGCTTGGGCGAGTAAACTTAGTTTAATTATCTCAGGTCATCTTTTGTCAAAATAGTATCAGTATCGCAGAACTGGAATAATTGAAAACCAAGTCCGATGTGGTCAGTAAGTTCATTTTTGCCAGTTGCTATCGTGATATTATATTCGTTTAGCTTTTCCCCGTCTGGAGAGTACGTTTCGCTTTCACGTGAAAAGGCAGCTATGGCGGTAGGCGGAAACGTATGTGACACCGAGGCTCGATCGGGAAAATCAAGATCTACTTTCGCTTTCGTTACCACCGAGAAGTTTGCCAGCAGTTGTCTGATAACGCAACATTTGTGGCATGCGGGTTGTGCAGTATAAACACAATGTCGCCGTGCAAATAAAATGGAATAAATACTCTGACTCGTCGCTGTGCTGTCACTTGTGGAAAAAAAGAAAAGAAAAGAAAGTACAAGCGTCGTCCGATTTTTAGATTATCTGGCTCGCCATCGTGACCGGTCACTGACCCTGTGCGCTTTCGCATCATAAATAAATGCGGCATCGTGTGAGCAAAGACCGTCTTTGTGGGAGTAACGGCGTTGCGAAGTATATATATGACTACGGAATAGGGGAGGAGATTATTGATTTTTTTTTGGGTTTAAGATATTATCGGGGGTTTAAGGCAACACCAGACGACAAAAACTTGGAAGCATTTTTCAGAATTTTGATTAGAGCTTCCTGCAAAGCGCGCGTTGGTGCAGGCCATGTGCGGAATCGGGACCCCTCATACTTCGCAAGTCTGTGTTATTGAAATAAAGTGTTCGCGTTTCATTGGATGGGTGATAGATCTAGTAAATTATAACTACTGTGTATGTTGTAGCTTTCTGTTCAAGACTGGCAGATTTTCAGTGTCACTGCATCTTGCCCTACCACAGTTGTTAAAACTCTCACAGTGCATGGGTCTACTTGAGCCATTCAAGTTATTGCTTTTCTATGAGTTTGAGCAATAATTTGAGTGTCTGTCAGTTCATAATATGAATCATGACATCCAGACTGGTTCTTGATAGTCGAAATTTTTGTCCTAGGCCCTTCCGAACTCTCAAAGCAGGATTTATTTTTTATATAATAATGAGAGGAAAATATTATATAATAGACTGAAATACTTAAGTCAAACAAGACCCCAGTACAACATTGAAAACTGACATGTTGTTGACTGGATACATGTATATTGTACGCGTGTGTGCTCCCTTTTTCGAGCTGGTGAGCTAGTAATTTTTTTTCAGGAAATATTGCTGGACACCCTGAACATTTTACTATTACTGGTTGGTTGACCATCAATGATTTATTTATAGAGGCACCAGCCATCCATGTCTAGGTTCTGTTTTAGCCTACTGGTTGGTCGGTCGGTCGTGGGGAATACACATTTTCAACTGAAAATACACATTTTCATATTTCCCAATACTCATTTCGGTTTTCTGTGGTTGGCATCTCTGACTTCGACAGGGGACGGATTTATCTTCAACAGTACTGGGCTCTTTTTCAACTTACTAAAAGTTATTGTGCCCCCCACCCTTCTCTCTCTCTCTCTCTCTCTCTCTCTCTCTCTCTCTCTCTCTCTCTCTCTCTCTCTCTCTCTCTCTCTCTCTCTCTCTCTCTCTCTCCCTCTCTCCCTCTCTCCC